TGAATTGACTGTATATTTGAGGGCGAACGCGGCAGCCAATTGCGCACAGCAATGTCCCACAAACAGTCGTAGATTGAAAATGACCAATTTATTATTGTTTGGTTTTGGAGGGATTATTATTAGGCTCTGTGTGGAGTAAGGAAACTTGCCCAAGGTTTCGCCCTCTGCCTGGAATTGAACTCAGGTCTCTCGCTTGCAAAGCGAGTGCTCTAACCACTGAGCTACAGGACTCCACAAATTACCTCTACTATAAGAATAATCCTTCTATTTAATCACATCGTTGAGACATCTCAAAGCGCTTCACACAATACACTGTAAAGTGGGGTGACTGTGTGTTTTGTAGGCAAAAAAGCGGCAGCTAATTTGCACACAGAGTGAATGATTTTTATCTTGGGGTTTGACGGCCAGGACATTGGGAGACAGGAACTCCCTTCTCTTTACCAAGTGGGACCTTTAACATTCCCTTGGACAGACGCAGCCGAGACCTCAGTTTACCTCCGACAATGCAGCACACCCCCAGCGCTGCACTGGAGCATCAGTTAGACAATGTCAGTTCCAAATCCCGATGTTGGGTTTGAACCCACAAACCTCTGACTAAGAGGCTGAGACTTTGCAGCAAATGTGGTGTTCTGTAGCATTGTGATTAGCAAGCGAGAGGTCCCTGGTTCGATTCCCGGACAGGGCGAAATCTTAGACAAGTTTCCTTGCTCCACACGCCTGTTTACCAGCACTAAGTAGGAATTTGGTTGTTAGTCGATTGGCGGATTGCTTACTTGGGGTAATAATCCCTCCCCCAAAAATAATAGTAATAATAATAATTTGGTCACTCAATCCAAGACTGTTTGTGGGGATGCTGCTGTGAGTGTTTGGCTGCCATGCTTCGCCCACAAAATACAGTCACTACACTTTACAGTATATTCTGTGAAGCGCTTTAAGACATCGCAACATCGTGATTTGAATTGACGAATGCCGTAAAGCACTTTGGGACGTCCTCCTGACATGAAAAGGCTCTGGATCCAATGCTGGATCCAAGGATTATTGCTGTATTGTCATTATTGCAGCAGAGGGGAAAAGGAGCAGAGACGGAGGAATGTCTCCACAGAGATCTGAGCGAGGAGATAAGGGCTGGAAAGAGAGTCTGAGCTGGGAGACGGCAGCTGGACTGGGGTTGGAATGTGAGCTATGCAGCCAGTGTGTCAGAGACTCCGGCTCAAGCCTCCTGCCAGGGTCCCTGTGTCAGAGATTAGATTTGTTTGATTTTCCGGAGAGATTGTCAGCAGTGAGAGAGGAATTCTAGTGCTGAGAGAGAGAGACAGAGAGAGACCCTCCCATCGCAGCCTCCCAACCATAAATGGAAGAAATTGAGCAGTTCACAATGCTAACATGAAGCTGAGTAATGATGAGTAGACAGACTGCATCCTTTGCCTTGACCTCCAGAGGTCAAACCTGCATAAAACAGCCCAGAGCAGGATTTCGCTGAAAAAATGTGGGCACTGTTCCTCGTTCTTTCTTCTGAAATGGAATGTCCTGAGGTCAGGGGGTTCCCAGGGTTTGACCCCCAGCTCCGTGCAGCTGCGGGTGAGAGCTGTGGGGGAATCAGGGCTGTGCTAGCAGTGGGGAGGGGAGGGGAGGGGGGGGGGGGAGAGAGAGAGAGAGAGAGAGAGTCAGCCAGGGTTATTTGCTCATGGCTCAGTCGCGCTCATTCTCTCGCCTCCGAGTCAGGAGATTGTGGGTTCGAGCCCCGCTGTCCTGAGACGTTAAATCTCACTCCCCGTCCGTGCCCTGTTCAGGGGGATGTTAAGGATCTCCCGCGGCGCTATCGGGGAGGGGGGCAGAGAATGGAGTTTCTTTCTCTCTCTTTCTCCCGGTGTTCTGACTGACAGATAAAATCACTCACTTATTTCATGGCTGTTTTCGAGGATATTTCTGTGCACAAATTGGCTGCCGCTTTCACACACAAAACACGTGGTCACTACACTTTACAGTGAATCCTGCAAAGCGTTTTGAGACGTAGCGACGACATGATAAAGCGCAATATCAAATGCAAGGAATGTTATTTATTAACAATGTCTGGAACCTGGGGGAAAAAATAATTTCTCCCAGTGGAGCACCAATTGGTCATTCACCTCTGTGTTGTTTGTGGGACCTCACTGGGAAACTATAAATGATATCAGTCGTTGCTTTTAATAAGTAGCAATCAATTATCAGTCCCATGTTTATTCTGATCAAAGTCTCACTTAAAATTCCTAAATTCCTGCCTCAGTACATCAATCCAAATCTGCCTTTGCCATTAAAATTTGATTAACTAGGCGTGTCTGTACACAGAAACTGGACTGTGTCTGCAATAATAATCCTTGCATTAGATACAGCACCTCATCATGTCATTGATAACTTGCAAAGAGCTTCACAGAATATACTGTAAATTATAATAATCCTTGCTTTTGATACAGCGCCTTATCATGACACTGAGGCATCTCAAAGCGCTTCACAGGATATACTCTAAAGTGAATTAACTGTATATTTTGTGGGCGAAACGCGGCAGCCAATTGCGCACAGCAGCGTCCCACAAACAGTTGTGGATTGAGTGACCAAATTATTATTATTTGAAGGGATTATTAACCCCAGAAAAGCGATCCACCAATCGACCAACAATTGTGTTCCTATTTACTGCTGGGTAAACAGAGGCGTGTGGAGTAAGGAAACTTGCCTGGGAATTGAATCCGGGTCCTCTCGCTTGCGAGGCGAGTGCTCTGGCTACTACACTACAAGACTCCAGGGACATTGTCTGTTCATGGAGGTGGGGCGGGGGGGGGAGGAGAAGAAAGGAGTGAAGAGTTCTCTGGCAGATGGGATGGTATGAATGGCCTCTTGCTGTGCTGACTAATTGAGGAGTGTGCGAACAGTCACCATATTACCTGAGGTTTCTCCTGACCATCTGTGCAGAGGGAGTGAACAGGAAGTGAGTCAGTGGCAATGGAATTCTACCTTCCTGGTGAGCGGTGACTGATCCGGCCATGAATTCTGCATCACTACCTACCTGTGGGTGTCCGACCAGCCAGCCATCCCAGGTCTTCCCCCAACCACACATAGTTAGGGCCTGAGATCACATGGTTCGCCGAAGGTCTCAGTCTGTGGCTCAGTCACTCTTACTCTCTCACCTCCGAGTCAGGAGGTTGTGGGTTCAAGCCCTAAGTCGGGGGACTCAGAGCTCACAGTCTAGGCTGACGTTCTAGTGCAGCGCTGGGGCAGAGAAAGAGAGAGAGAGAGAGCGTCGCATTGTCAGAGACACTGGCCTACGGATGAGACTTTAAACCTCACTCCCAGACTGTGCCCTGTTCAGGTGGATGTCAAAGATCTACTGTGGCGCTGGGGAAGAAGAGGAGGGAGTTTCTCTCTCTCTCTCTCTCTGGGTGTCCTGGCCGACAATCTGCCAGACAATGTTTGCTCGTTCACTTGACAGCTGTTTTCGGGATGTTGCTGAGTGCAAATTGGTTGTTGGGTCCACCTATAAAACACAGTCAATGGTAATTACTAATACAATAGCACTTGATATTAATTATTGTACAGTGGTTTGAGACATGCAGACATGATAAGGCATTTACAGGACGTCTCTGGGTGCAACTGGCTGCCATGTTTCGCCACAAAGTTCAGTCACGACACTTTACAGTAATATTCCGTGAAGTTGTCTTTGAGACGTCTTGTAGACATGATAAAGTGCTGCGAGACTTATTATTATGATTATTATGATTTAAACAGGATGTTTCATGGCAATAGACACAGATTTGAATTTATAATGGGGGATTTGAAGGGGTGGGAGGCTAGGAGGGTGGGGAGAGGGGTAAAGATGACCGAAAAACAGGGTGATGAGATGGGCTTTGATCGCAGAGAGAGGAGAGGGATTCCACATCCCCCCCCAGTCCCTAAATTTTCTTTGTTCGAGAATTTAGCGCCCCTCCCCAATAGCTCAGCCTCTCGTTCGGTCTTTAAAAGATCTGGTATTAATCTGGACCCCCTCTGCTGCACGTCTTGGGTTGTGCAATTTACGACAAGAATGTCAGTAATGCCCAGTGTTTAAATGTCAAACACACTGATACAATTACAGGCCTCAGCGACGTGGAGCCGAGTAAATAAAAACAGGGAGAATGACAACATCGGAACGTTACAAGGAAAATAATATCTCCGCCCCCTCTGCTCAGTCGCTTGCATCTCGGGGATCATTGGGTTCGAGCCCCCCCCCCCCGCCCCCATTTCCTGGACTCTGAGCTCACAGTCCAGGTTGACAGCCCAGTGCAGCGCTGGGGGAAGAGAGAGAGAGACATATTGTCAGAGATGTGCCCCTTGGATTAAGTTAACCTTCATCGCCTCCATCCTGGGCTATCCCGATGGCCTCCTCGCTGTTCTCTCCAGGGCCACCACACACACCTCCGTCACCTGTATTCTCACACACTGAACTCCGTGCCCCCATCACCCCTGTTCTCGCCACACTCCACTGACTCCCACCGGGGAAGGGGTCTGAGGGAGGGAGAGCTGTGGGGTAGGGGGTTGAGTGGGGGCTGTATGGGGGTTGAGGTTTTTTTGTGGGGTGTGGTTAGGTGGGCTGTGGGGATTTTGGGGGAGGCTGGGGTGTTTGGAGAAGACTGTGGGGGGTTGAGGGGGGCTGTAGTGGGGGGTTGAGGGGGAGCTGTGAAGGGAGGGGTTTAGGGGGGCTGTGGGGGAGGGGGTTTGGGGGCTGAGGTGAGGGGGTGGGGGTGGGGGAGGGGTTGGGGGAGGGGGTTGGGGGCTGGAGGTGAGGGGGTTGGGGGTGTGGGGGAGGGGGTTGGGGGGGGGGAGGGGTTGGGGCTGTGGGGGGTTGGGGGCTGTGGGGAG